TTTTTTTTTTTTTTTTTTTTTTTTTTTTGTTTTTTTGTTTTTTTTGTGTGTGTGTGTGTGCGTGTGTGTGTGTGCGCCCGTTTTGTTTCCCTCATCTCTCGCTCTTCTCCTCGTCGCTCCGCTCTTGCCGCCCTGTCCGCCGCTTTTTGTCCTTGGCCGTCCTTCTCTTTCGCTTGCGCCGACTGGCTCGGCCTTTGCAGCTCTCGCGCCAACAATTGTGACCGCCAGGGTGCCGTGCACAGGGCCTCCGAGGAACAGGTCTGACAGTGTGCTTGTGTGTGTGTGTGTGCGGTTGTGCGTGTGTGTGAGTGTGTGTGCGCGCGCGTGTGTGTTTGTGTGCGCGTGTAAGCATGCTCCAAATCCCCACGCTTCGCGTATCCCCGCCAGCCGTCCACCCTGGGCCCACGCAGTCGTCTGAGGTACGGTATCATGCTTTCTCTCTCGGAGCTGTCCCTGGCCGTCGTTTATATTCCGACTTGTGGCGCCTCCGACGGACTTGCAGCTTTTCGCGCTGGCAGTTCCCCTCAGTTTCAGTCCCTCCAGCCATCCACCTGCCGTTGGGCCGCTGCGTGAGGCCTCGGCCGGCGCGTAGCCGTTGCCTTGCGCGTCGCCTCTGCTTTAATTAATTAGTCTCTGCGTAACCCGCTTTGACCTGACTCGCCGCCTGCGCGCTCGCCCGCGGTCGCTGACTAAAAAGTATCCCCGCCAGCCGATTCAGAGACCCCGACTTCGAGAGCTGACAGGAGAAAGGGGCGAAGAGACACATCATCTGGTGAAACAGGGCGGGCAACCAGGGTGAACAGAGATCTTTGGGAGCCATCCTTGGGGGCCGCTTGGGGCCATCTTGGAGGCTATCGATCAAAGGAGGGGGGGGTCCAGATCTAAATTCCCCCTTGGGGCCCTCAAAACCGCCTCTTGGGGCCCTCTTGGGGCGCTCTTGGGCGCTCCTGGTGCCGTCTGGGGCGCCTCCGGGTCCCCTTTCGGGGTTTTCTTGGGGCCCCCGGAACGCATCGGAAGCGAACCAGCGCGACAGCAAAACTCATACTCTGGATTGCTTAGGCCGCGGCGCGTCCGCGGGGGTGCCAGGGGGTTCGTTCCCTTCCCCGCTGGGGCGCGGGGGTGGTGCCGTGGGGGGGGGGGGGCTGGCCGCGCCACGTTTTCATGTGTGTCACCCCCCGGTTGATTCATAAGAAGTTCGGAGTAGGTTGTTGGAGGATTTTGCCCTTTTGGAGGGGTTCTGAGGGGTCGCCGACAGCACTTTGAACCGTCTTGTGGTTGTGGCGCCCTTGGGGCCTCTAGGAGGCATGCCGGGGGTCATCTTAAGCGGTCTTGCGCTATCTCGGAACATCTTGGAGGCGATCTCGGAGCATCGGAGGCCCTCTTCGAACCATCTTGAGCGACGACGGGCCCTCTGATGACACGCGGCCCCTCCACGAACAAGCCCTGGGAGGGTAGGGGGGGTACCCCTCCCCGAAGGGAAGAAGGGTTTCATTTGAAGGGAAAGGAAAATATCGTCAGACCACCTACGCCCAGAGGGATGGTGGGATTCGTTCCCTTGTGGGACACGCAGCAATGTTCCACGGTACTAGACGCAGGCTGTGTGCGTGTATTCGCGTTCGGTTTGACGTCGGGGAAGACATGGTTTCCAAGTGTTTATTGTATTGTGCGCCGCGGCCCTTTTGATGATTTGGTGCCACAGCTCGGAGTCAGAATGGTCATCGTCCAAGTCTGCACGTGGCATGCGCTTACATGTTTAGTTTCACCGTCTGGTCTGCACGGCTGTGCCCACCACGGGGATTTCTGCATACACCGAATCGTCCCGGCAATTTGCCGCGCCGCCTGCCTGACTCGCGGCTTTAGACGCATTTCAGTCAATTGGGATATGGACTGGTCTTCGATTGGGTGGCGAAATCCCAACCATACCCCGACCGATCAACGGTTCAGGCAACTCGAAGGGCGATGGGGGTAGGGTTCGGAATGGGTCGAGCACGTGGCGAAGTCCGAACCCTAACCCCCGCCCCCAATGGTTGGTGGGGCTTTCTCGCGGCCCTCGAGGGACCTTCTTGAAGTTATTTGGAAGGGTGTTGGGGTCCTTCTAGGAGCCCTGGAAGACTCTTGGGGCCATCGTGGAGGGTGCCGCTCAAGAAGAAGGGGTTCCTTAATTCAGGCGCCCCTCAAGAACCGTCAACATCGCTTCTTGGGGCCTTCTTGGGACCCTCTTGTGGCGCTCTTGGGAGGTCTTGGGGCTGTCTTGGCGGCGTCTTGGGCCCATCTTGGGGCTCTCTTGGACCATCGTGAGGCCTCAAGACCGCATCGGGAGCGAAACGACGAGAAGGTATACAAGGCGAAATCGCACCCTCGAAGGTTTAGAAGGTTCGTGGTCTCGTGGGGAAGTCTTGATGGGGGCTTCGAGAGCACTTGGAGCCGTCTTGTGGTCCCCTTGGGGCCTCTTGGAGGCATGTCGGAGGCCATGTTGAATCATCGTCGGCTATCTTAAGCCATCTTGGGAGCCATCTTGGAGCATCGGGGGCCCTCTTTGAGTCCTCTTGGGCCATCTTTGGTGCTCTGACGTCTCGCGTCCCTCCCAAACAACTAATTCAGGGAGGGGTGGGGGATGGTACCCCTCCCCGAAGTGAAGAGGGGGTGCGGAAGAGAGCAGAAGACTCATTAGACTACGAACGTCCAGAGGGCTAGTGGGACTTGAGCCGCTGACGCCATTCATCAGCACGCCGGCGTAACCAGAGCGTGCGTGTTTGTGTGAGGGAGGGAGAGAGAGAGAGAGAGAGAGAGAGCGAGAGGGAGAGAGGGCGAGAGCGAGAGAGAGAGAGAGAGAGAGAAAGAGACAGAGTGAGAGAGAGAGAGAGACATACACATGTGTATACACACAAAGAGAGAGAGAGAGAGAGAGAGAGAGAGAGAGAGAGAGAGGGAGAGAGAGAGAGAGAGAGAGAAAATGAAAGAAAGAAAGAGAGCAACTTACTACATAGAGTTCTGAGCCCCAATTAGGTGGACAAGGCCGAGTTCTGCAAGTTCTTCTCCTGCTGCGAGAAAGATCCCGTGGTGGCGAACGCGGGCAGCGGGAACGACGCGAGCGGGAAGAAGAGGGCGCTGACGAAGTGGCCTGGGGAGGAGGAGCTCGATGTGGTCTTCAAGCGCATCGAGCAAGACGCGGAGGGCTACATTAGCAGATCAATTTTCCTTAAGTTTCTCGCCGAGTACATGAAGGTCGTGAAGGCCATTCTCCACCTCCACAGCCTCCTCCCCCTATCCCTCCTCCTGCATCTCCGCCTGCGCCTTCTCACTTCCCTTCACCTCGCCCCTGACCCCGTTCCTCCTGCTCCTGCTCCTGCTCCTCGTCCTCCTGCTGCTCCTGTTGCGGACCCTCCCGCCGGCGAAGGCCACCGCCATCACTTCCGAGATGGGCATGAAGGGGCAGACCCTCCGGCGGGTGCTGCCAGGAGAGGCGGTCGAGGTGCCGGCGGAGGGGGAGGAGGACGAGGAGGAGGAGGAGGAGGGGAGGGAGGAGGAGGGCCCCATTCGCGAGGACCTCCCCCTCCCTCTTCCCCGTGCTTCAGCTCCCCTGCCTTCTCCCCTTCCCGTCCTCTCCCCCCCCCCGCCTTTGCAATCGCGCCTCCCCTTCCCCCTCCTACTCACGCTTCTCTGCGAACTTCCTCTCCTTTGGTTCCTATGTCTCCTCCTCCTCCTCATCTTTCCCGCATCTCCCTATTCCCTGCCCGTTGAGGTGCTGGAGGGCCCTGTTCGCGACGACCTGGTGCAGACCTTGCGCATCCGGGCGAGGACTTGGACACCTTCTCTGCCAATGTGAAATCCAGGTGCCTGCGGCAAATCCGCCACCATGTCAGCGAAGCATTCTGTCGACCTTTCCAGCACCGCCCAAGTTTCAAGTGGTAGCGCTCGTCTCTTCTTCTTGAGGAGCTCTCATGAAGCGTGTTTGGGCCGTCTTGGGTCTGTTTCGGACAGTCTTGAGGGTCGCTTGGGGCCCTCTCCGGTCGTCGTGGATCCCTCCTGGGCCGTCTCGGGGCTTTGTTGGGCGGCGTTAGTAGGCAGAAACCCTACAGCACTTGGCATTCTACCACTCCTCAACGCGCTGTGGTTGCGGTGATGGTTAATCGCACTCAATTCCGCGACCCCCTTCGAAAGCCGATTCCTCCCCTCCGTACAACCTAATCCAACACAGTACATTCCTGTACACATTCGAGCTATTTCAATCCTCTCGGGTCCGCCAAATCCTCCCTTCCAGTACATCCGCCAATCCAATCCTCCCCCGTTCCCTTCCAATCTCCTCCCCCGTTTCACCCCGAGATGGGAGGGAGGGATATGCCGGAGAAGGATGGGGAGGTAAGAAGGAGGATGATGATGAGGAGGAGGAGGAGGAGGAGGGCGAGGGCGGGGGTTGGAAGGTAAGAGGAGAGTGCTTCTTTATTGCCTGGGGCATGACAGGCGTCATGGCTCCCGCCCCTCCCCCCCCTACGACGTAACGCTCCCCCCCCCCCAGTGCGCTCCGGGCACTGCCGCCGTGCGCATCGGGATGCGCATAGGTGTCCGCATAGGAATCTGCATAGGAGTCTGGTCCGCAGTCGTCGTCGTCGTCGTTGTCGTCAACGTCGTCGTCGTCGTCGTCGTCGCCGTCGGCGTTGACGTCGGCGTCGGCGTCGGCGTCGGTGTCGTCGTCGTCGTCGTCGTCGCTGATCGCTCGTCGCTCGTCGTTCATCGTTATCGTGCGCGCAGACGCGGCTGCTGGAGCCTGGCTTTTTTATTCTGGGCCGATGACGGCAATCATATAGGGTGGGTGGGGTTGGAGGGGGCCGAAGACGTCATGTTTCGCTCTGGCGGCGTCTGGGCATGCCCAGGAATGACCGTAGACGGGTAGCAGCAGCATGTAGATATCGATATGCACGACAGCGCCTGTGAACACAGTGCCTGCGTGCACCACAGCGCCTGTGTACACCAGATTGCATAGTACGCCACAGCAGCCGCGTGTAACACAGCGCCAGTGTGTGCCACAGTGGCTGCGGGCACCACAGCGCTTGTGTACATCACAGCGCCTGCGTACACCACATCAGCCGTGTGCAACACAGCCCCAGTGTACACCACAATGCCTGCATGCTACACACTGCCAGTGTGCACCACGGCGCCCGCGTGCACCACAGCAACCGTGTGCAACAGATCACCACATTTGCATACATAATGTTGAAGAAATCCTTATGACAGAATGGAGCGCCTGTGGATTCCACAGAAACTTATTTGTTTCTAAAGGATTTGGAACGGAAGTCTTATGGAAAAAGAGGCGCCGCTGGAATCTACGAGTCCTCCCGAGTCCGCCCGCATCATCCTAACTCCTCCCATGTGCGTCCAGGAGGCTCCAGCGAAATTGGCCATCCGAGAACCAAGTGGACCGATTCAATCGACCATTCTACGGTGCAAACTGAGCCGCGCACGTGCGCTGTATCGCCGACCCGCACGACAGGGGGGGGAGGAGGAGGAGGAGGAGGAGGAGGAGGAGGAGGAGGAGGAGGAGAAGGAGGAGGAGGAGGAGAAGGAGGAGGAGGAGGAGGAGGAGGAGGAGGAGGAGGAGGAGGAGGAGGTAGTGGAGGTGGCGGAGGAGGGGAGAATGTCGCATTGTTTATCAGCACTTTCTTTTGCGTGAAGTTTAGCTGTCCGCAGAAGATCCTCACCTACATGCTCCCTCTACCTGTCCTGTGCTCGCAGGCGCTGTGGTGTACACCAACCACGCGTTGCACGTGGATGCTGTGGTGTAGACAGGCGCCGTGGTGTGGACAGGCGCTGCGGTGCACGCAAGCATCGTGGTGTACACAGGCGCTGTGTTGCACATGGTTGCTGCGGTGTACACGTTCGCTGTGGTGTACACTGGTGCTGTGGTGCACGCAAGCACTCTGGTGTACACAGGCGCTACGTTGCACACGGCTGTTGCGGTGTGCGCAGGCGCTGTGGTGCACACGCGCGCTGTGGTGCACGCGAGCATTGTGGTGCACACAGGCGCTGTGGGGCAGATCGCCATCTACATGCTTACATGCTGCTCGCGTCGTCGTCATCGTCGTCATCGTCGCTCATCGTCGTCGCGCGCGCGGGCGCGGCTGTGGTGCCGGAGCCACACGGTGGGGGGGGGCGTTACATCATACCCCTCCCCGCCCCCCCCCCATGATGCCCGTCATCGCCGAAAATAAAGAAACATTCTCGAGGGAGGCCGTGGGGTCCTGGAGGGCGGCGAGTGCGGAGGTGGCGCAATGGATGGGGGTGGAGGGAGAAGAATTGCGAGTCACGAGATACCCCACGCAGTGGTCGAAACGAACTACGAGCGGCGCTGCTGCTCAGCCTTGCTCAGAAGCTCGGGCCACCTACCCTCGATCAATCAGGATAAATACTCCTTCCTATGAGGAGCAGTCGTATTCGAACACGGCATGGCCAGCCGTCCCATCTGAGAGTGCGCAAGATGGCCACATCCCATGCAAAGCCAACCCTTCTGGACATGCGACAAACGCAGCCTGTGAGTCCCCTATGAGCGGAGGGGTAAGGAGGAGGCGTTTCCCTGACGGCAACTTTACATCAGCTTACAATCTTCATCGGCGGCTTTGGTTGGCGTTGCAGCCGATGCCGAAGATTCGAATGATGACGTCGGCGGCGCGGATGGCTCCACTGTCGCGATGTTGGCGACGCGGTCGGCGACCGCTTGCGCTTCGCGCGTTCGCGCCGCAGCGTCGACGCCTCCCCGCTGGACTCCACGAGGGACGGACTCGACAACCCACCCTGGGGACTTCCCCGTGGGAGGCGCCAGAACCCTGTTGCCAGGGCCTCCAGCAGCACCACCGAGGAGAACGCTCGTGAAGTCCTTCTCGGTCCTTCTCGGAAGCCGCCGCCCTCGCCGCTGCTGCCTGGAGCGCTGCCGCCACCTTCCGAAGCCTCGGGAGCTCGGCATCCACCTCCGCCGTCCACGTCGCAGCTGTCGGTGCGATCTCCAAGATGTGCTCCGCGTGGCCGAGCCCGCCCTCACAGCCCTCCACCACGGGTGGGAACCCGTGGCAGAAAGCTGCGCACTCTGCTCCTTCGCGGTGCACTCCTTGGTCTCCCCGTCAAGGTCCGCGGCGCCCACGCCGAGGGAGTCGGCAGTGATGATTTATTTGCTCCTTTACCTCAGCCTCCTGGGGAGAGTCCGCGACGTTCATGGCAGACAGCACCTTGCCGACGTTCCCTGCTGACCATGGAGGGTGCTTGGTCGCGCCGGGCTCGAGAGGCGGAGCCGCAGCGTTCCAGACCGTGCCGTCGGAAGCGTACGGGCCTCAGCTGATGTTGAACACGTGGTTTATGTATGTTGTTGTGCTGCATAGTTGGATTACACAGATCTGGTGTTCAGCTATTCTTTTCCAGTCAGCCCAGTCGGAGCACATGGTAGCCCAGAGCAGAAATATCAGCAGCAGAAGCCAGAACCGAGCCGAAAACGGTTCGACTGAGAAGCCCAAGACGGACACAGCGCTGACCCAGAACGGGGAACTCCGTCGACCTTGAGCACGAACAAACCACCCCCCAGCGTTTTCCTCCTCATCGAAGATACTGGCCGAGCGGACCCAGTGGCGCAGCGCCCGCGGCCAGCTTTACGTGATGGGCCGCGAGCCCTGCGCCGCGTGCTGCGCCTCCAGGCGCCGGGAGGCTATCCTTAAGTCGGGGCTGTCCTCCCACAGGGGGATTTTGGACGAGAAACAAAAGATAGTTTAAAACATGCCCCCAAATTGTCAACACATACTCAGCATGATACCGGAGAAAACCCCAATCATAATCTTTTTAGGGCTATAGGGCTATTGGGCTGTAGGGTAATAGAGCTACAGGGCTGTAGGGCTACAGGGCTATAGGGTATAGGGGTATAGGGCTATAGAGCTATATGGCTATACGGCTATAGGGCTATAGGGCTATTGAGGTATCGGGCTATAGGGCTATAGAGCTATAGAGCTGTAGGGCTATAGGGCTATAGGGCTATTGGGCTATTGGGCTATTGGGCTATAGGGCTATAGGGCTATAGGGCACCCCGAGGCACCCGGGCACCCCTGGGCACCCCCGCGCACGCCCGGGCACCCGGCCTGGGCACCCGGGCACCCCCGGGCACCCGGGCACCCGGGCGTGCAGCGAAAATCGGCGGCAAACCCAACCTAACCATATGAATCCGCTAGGACCCCTACAGAGGCAAGCTCTGATTGGGGAAAATCGTTCCCCGTTTTTTTTTTTTTTTGTTTTGTTTTTTTTGTTGGTTGTGTTGTTTGCAAAAATATTACTATTTTTGAATACTCCTCCTGTAGAGGGACAGACCCGACTTGAGGCTATCCAGAGTGCGCACGCCCTCGGCGCCCGCATGCCGCGCCACGCTGCAGGCGTTGCCAAAGGTGCCCCTGGCCCAAGGTTTCCCCAGCTTTTCCCCACTTCGGAGCCCCCGGGGCCCTCTGGGCCGCGTGAGGGATGCCTTGGAGGCCGTGGGGGCCTCCTTGGAACTCCTTGGGGCACCTTAAGACAGGACGTTGCCCCTGCCCTTGCTTCTGCTGCTGCTGCTGCTGAGATTCGCGATGCCGCGACTCCGCCCCTCGCCATTCTCGAACTCCACTGCAGAGAATCTCCAGCTGCGCCAGCTCTGGACGGACATGCCGAGGGGGAGGGGCGGAGGCAGGGAGAGCAGGAGCGGGAGTGGGAGGGGGGGGGGTCGGAATGAGTGAAGGGGGGGGAGGATTGTACGGGTGCTCTTGGAGATGCCTCCTTGGAGGACGCTCACGGACTCGCTTGAGGGCTGGGTCACAATCGAGTCGAACACAGGTTCGGCGTTCTTAGTTGAGGGCGGCAAGGTGTTCAAGTTCAAGGTTGCCGAGAAGTGCACGTTACAGATTTCTTCGCCTCCTCTTCCTCTCATTCCTCACGAATCCCCCTCACCCTCGCCTTTCTCCCCTTCGCGCTTCTCTTCCTCCTCCTTCTCCTCCTCCTCCTCCTCATTACTTCTCCTCCTCATCTCTCCCACTCACTCCTCCTTCCCGCCTTTCCATCATTCTCTCTAATCTCCTCCTCCTCGTCGTTCTCCTCCTCCCTCTCTTCTTCCCTCCTTCCCCCTCCCTCCTCCCTCCTCCCTCCTCCCTCCTCCCTCCTCTTCCTCCTCCTTCTCCTCCTCTTCCTCGTCCTCCTCTCCCTCCTCCCTCCTGCTCTTCCTTCCTCCGCCGCCTCCTGCTCATGCGCCTGCTGCTGCTGCTGCTCTTACTACCCCCAAAGGTCGGCGAGAAGGGAACGATGTTCACCGACGACTTCAAATATAAGATTAGAGTATCGAATCGAAAACTCAAAGAAGGCGAGGTAATGGAATCCCGGGATTGCGCCCAGAAGGACGAGCTGTCTGGGCTTATGAGGATGAAGGTGACGTTGAAGTCTAATGGCAAGCAAGGCTGGGTCACCGTGGTTGGGAACCAGAACCAGGTCTTCGTCCATCCCACCCTGTGAGCATTGGTGGCCTGCCTACTTGTCATCGTCAATCGGTGATCCTGAAATAGACGAGCCTGGTTCTTTACGTCTCGTCCTGCCATATCTCTCTCTCCCTCTCTCTCTTTCAATCCCTTTCCTCTCTCCCTCACTGCGTTGTCTCCTCTCCCTCCTCTCTCCGATCGCCTCTTTCCGCCTTCCCTCATCGTTCCCCCTCCTCTGCGCACAGACGAGCTGATTACCTGGGAGGGACTCGGCTTCGCCTACTGGGCGCTCTACGTTCTAGAGGGCACCGCGTTCCTTAGTTTTTTGTTTAGAAGATGTCTTCGTTCTTCGTGGCTTTGTTTCGAAACCTGGACCCCTGAGGATCCCCTCCCCAGCACAGGCGTTCCATCCTGAGTTATTCTTTGTCAGTTTCGGGGCTCAGTGAGGGGCCCTGGAGCCCAGAAACGGGCTCAAACTTCACGCCGTCATTTTCTCGCGAGGCGATGACGTCTGGGCCCTCCCTCTTCCTCTTCCTCATCCTCATCCTCATCCTCTCCACCCTCCTCAACCTCATCCTCATCCTCATCCTCATCTTCATCCTCATCCTCATCCTCACCCTTCCTCATCCTCATCCTCTTCCTCTTCCTCATCCTCATCCTGATCATCCTCTCCCTCTTTATCCTCCTCGTCCTCCCTTCTTCTTCCTCATTCTCTCCTCGTCCGCGCATGCCGTCCCGATCTCCCCAGGCATCCGCCGATACGATTTCTTTCAGCTTGCGGCCACTAAGCTTCCGACCCCTTCGGCTCCGCTTGTTGTTTCGCCCTGGATGTATTCCTACTGGCCAACAGGCCCCAAAACGGGCCCCAGAAGCGGGACAAAAGGAGCCATTTCGCGATCGAAAACAAAGACAGCCTTGGCTCTGATGTCTGGGCCTCTTGTCTCTTCGGGGAGCTGCGGGGGGGCGTGCAAAGCATGACCATAAGTGGAATAAGCACAAGCATGCACTGTGGCCCGAAGGATGGTGCTGGGCGTCGGCTCGTGAGCCCCGCACCGGCCCACAATATTCGGAGGACGACGGCGACGACGACACGAGCGTTAAGTCGGGCGTGCCCCAGCAGGAGTATTCAAAAATAGTCAAAAAATAGTCTGGGGACGACGCTTCGACTATTTCTGGACATTTTTTTTTATCGTCCGAAATCCGCCTGTAGGGGGACATGCCCGACCCAACACGAGCGCAGGGGAGGGAACGAACGACGAGGCGACGGAGGAGAGGACAGGAGCACAGGCCAGCGCGCAGGCTCCCGCGCCCGTGCGCCGGCAGCCGTGCGCCCGCGGAGAGCGGCCCGAGCCATGCGCCCGCCGACGCCCCCCGCCGCGCCTGCCACCGCGCAGCCAGCCACGTTCACCACCACTTCCTCATCATCCTGCCCCTCCTCCTCCTTCTCCTCCACCTTCTCCTCCTCCTCCTCCTCCTCCTCCACCTCCTCCCTCCTCCTCCTCCTCCTCCTCCTCCTCCTCCGCATCACCCTCCGCCTCCTCGTCCTCCTCCTCCTCCTCCTCCTCCTCCTCCTCCGCATCACCCTCCGCCTCCTCCTCCTCCTCCTCCTCCTCCTCCTCCGCATGCCACCGCGCAGCTAGCCACGCTCTAAGGAGGAACAGCTGCATACACATGAGTGGGGAGAGGGAACAAAAACACACACAGACACCAATCATCGTCGATTCCCAGGAAGATATGGGAAAATATGGGAAGTGTGTGTGTGGGGGGAAGACGAGCATCAAGAGAACATGATAAGATAGGGGGAACCCTGGGATTTGCGTGTGTATTTACTTGTGTCTCCCCGGGCCCCTTCAACAAGCTGCTGGAGCTCCGCGCGGATGTTTCGGCTCGCGGCGGTGGACCCCCCTCCTTGGCGCGCGGAGCGCGCCGGAGGCGGCGCCAGGGGGGCACGTCGCGGGTGCAAGAAGGCCTCGAGGAGCTCCAGAAGTTTGTGGTCATGCACTTTGTTCCCCAATCAGTGCTTGCACTGAAGGGGTCCTGACGGATATTCCCCAACCAGTGCTTGCACCGAAGGGCTCCTAGCGGAAGTTGAAAGATTTGTCGAAAGTTTCTTGCCGATTATGGTAGCAGGCTGGGTTCCCGGGTTCCTGGTTCTTGGTTCCCGAAAATTTGGCGAAAGTTTCCCGCCGATTTTGGTAGCAGGCTGGGTTCCCGGGTTCCTGGTTCCCGGTTCCTGTGTTCCTGGTTATTGGTTCCGGGCCGATTGCGGTGGGTTCCGCTTCCCAGGTTCCCGGTCGATCTCCTTATCGATCTCTTTATCGATCCCACGATTCATTATCGAATTCTTGATTGATCTCATGAGTCACCTCACTCAATCGATCTCACCATCGATCTCTTCAAACCATCCACTGATTGGGTTTTTTCTTTGGTGTAATTCCCCAACCATGCTTGCACTGAAGGGCTCCTAGCGGAAGTTGAAAGACTTGTCGAAAGTTTCCCGCCGATTTTGGTAGCAGGTTGGGCCTGGGTTCTCGGTTCCGGGTTCCCGCGTTCCTGGTTATTGAGTCCGGGCCGATGTCGGTGGGTTTTGGGTTCCTGAGCTCCGATCTCCTCAGCTAGGGGACCATGCGAACCCTACCCCTACCCCCCTCGATTTCTGAGGGGGAGGGTGGGGTTCACTTCGCTCGAGAGCTCCCAAACGAAGTGAACCCCACCCTCCCTCTCAGAAATCGTGGAGGTCAGGGGTAGGGCTCGCATGTGGCCTCCTATCAGCCTATCAGGGAAAACCATCCACTGATTGGGGCTTTTCTCTGGTGTAATTGAAAGATTCGGCAAAAGTTTCCCAGCGATTTCGGTAGCCGGTTGGTTTCCCCGGTTCCCGGTTCCGGGTTCCCAGGTTCTCGGTTATTGGTTCTGGGCCGAAAAGGGATGCCCGAAAAGGCGAGCATGCCACGATCCTTATAATACCTACAAGGGATCAGTACTTAGTGTCTCTTCGGGCCCCACGGCGAACCGGCGGCCAGGCATGGTACCTGCCAAAGTTTTCAAACCATCCTTTGATTGGGTCTTTTCTCTGGTGTGATTGTATGGGTGATTTATCATGGGGGGGATTGACATTCCGATGGGCCTTGCCCATCCTCCCCCCCTCCTTTCCCCCATCGCCCCTCTCCATCCTCATCTTCCTCCTCCTCCTCCTCCTCTTCCTGGAATCCCCCTTCTACCCGTTCTGACAGCACGTGCCGAACCAACCCCGCGGATCCGAGGGGGGGGATTGTTGCCCCATCCAATGTGCATTCAGATCTGACGTTCCCGCATAATTGCACGCGTCAAATCTCGACCACAGCACTAGACTTGTATCTGGCTGAAGGGGGCGCAAACGACCCTGGTGCTAAAATAGTCAATGTTCTGAAACAAATTCCAGGCCATTCCCTTTTTCCTATTTTCAAGTTCAACGCTGCCAACGCATCGAAGTTCGGAACAGTTTGGATAAAATGTCGGGTGCGAAGAAGTTCCGAACATCGGAGCGCGTCTGAACTTGTATTGAACTCTTGAATTGGTTTCGCTGTTGTTCCAAATTTTTCGAAACTTCCAGTTGATCCAAACAGATCGCATGCTCCTTCCCCCTTCCACCAACCTCATGGTGATCTCCAGCCAAGACAGTTTTGGTCGGCGGTGGGGAGCGGCGGGTCCGAACTTTTTTCACCGGGGAATTGACCATTTGTAGATTGAATATTCTTACCAGTGTTAGCAGTATCATCTTGTTGAGTCGCGTGTTATACATCCAACATCATGCATCCTACTACTACGACTACTACTATTTCGATTCGTATTGCAATTACTACCACTGGAACGATTTCGCCTCTTACGACGACGACGACGACGACTACTACTACTAGTACTACTACTACTATATCTACTACTACGACTACCAGCACATACTACTACGGCTACCAAGTCATCCTACTCCTACTGCAACTACCACCACATCCTACCATTACTACTGCTGCTACTGCTACTACTACGGCGATTACCATTACTACTATGACTACTACTACCACTACCACTACCACTACAACTACTACTACAACTAGTACTAGTACTACTACTACTACTACTACTACTACTACTACTACTACTACTACTACTACTACGACTACGACTACGACTACGACTACGACTACGACCTTTACTACTACTACTACTACTACTACTACTATTACTACTATACTACTGCTTCTACTACTACTACTACTATTACTACTACTACTACTACTACTACTACTACTAGTACTGCTGCTGCTGCTACTACTACTACTACTACAACTACCACAACTATGCTACTACTACTACTACTACTACCACCACTACTATCACTACCACTACAACTACGACTACCAGTACGACTACTGCTCTTACTTCTCGTATCACTTCGTCTACTCCTCGTAGTACTACGACTACTATTATAACAGCTGATATTACTTGCACTACTATTATCACTACTACTACTGCTACTACTACTACTACTACTACCACTACTACTACTACTACTACTACTAGTACTACTACTACTACTACTACCATTACTGATACGATTGCCACGAGCAGTACTATTTCGACGAGCGTTACTAGTACGATCATTATTGCACTACTACTACGACTACTCCGGCTGCTGCTACTACGACGACTACTATCATTATCACTACTGGTACGCTTGCGACTGCTAGTACGAGTGCTACTACTACTGCTGCTACTGCTACTGCTACTACTACTACTACTATTACTGCTACTACTACCATGTACTACTACTACTACTACTACTACTACTACTACTACGATTACGACTACTACTACTACTACTACTACTACTAATACTATGGCTAGTTCTGCTAGTACTATTGCTGCGATTATCACTACTACGACTACTACGACTACGACTACCACTACGACTACGACTACCACTACGACTCCGGTCACTACTACTACCACGACTAGTACTAACACGTGCGAACGTTAGAAATTTGCGGGGTTCCTATCGCA